ATGTATAATGTACAGCTTACAATTGTTTAATAAAGCACACATAACTAGCCTGACAGAGGGTTATAATAAAAAAAAAATATATATATATAGTATAATTGCAATTTTAAAAAAAATTTCTTTTTGATAATTTATTAATTACATATAAAAAAATATTTATAAAGTTATTTTATTTCTTTACTAATAAAGTCTTAATATTATCCTTAAAATAACTTGAAATTTAATTTTAAAAGTTGTTTTTATTTTTTTTTCCATTGTTTATAAACTTTTTTATTCAAAAACTTAACTTTCAATAATCAATAAAAATCAAGTAAAACTTTTGATATCAATAATAAGAAAATTTTTTTAAAAAAAGGAATTGACTATAAAGTATCTAAAAATCTTTTGGATTTTTGAAACAAGAGATTTATAAAGATTTTTTATAATAAAAAAAACTTATTTTTTTTTTATTATCTTCATCTTCCTAGAGTTCTCAATTTTATAATTTTCTAGAGAATTTTGTTTATTTCAATTTAATTTTGAATTTTAGATAACATAAATTCTTATTAAAGATAATTGATTAATATGAAGTATATTAATTTTTTGAATATAAACAAACTTCTATTGATTTTAATTATATGTCTCAATGATACAATTGATAATAAAAAAAAATATTCTAGAAATATTTATTTCTAGAAATTCAAGTCTTTTAAAAAAAATATTTATAATATTAAAATATCAAGAAATAAATAATATAAATTACAAATTTTTATCTCTTTCTTAAGTTTTTAAATAGTGATAAAGCTTTAATGAACAAAAGTTGATGTTTGAATATTTTTTTTTGAAATATTTTAATTTAATATTTATTTAAATAAAGAAAGAAACAGTTATATTTCTACTAATTCTCTGTCCACATATAAAAAAGATGTTCACAAGAAGTTTTTACATTTTTTTGCTAATAAAGTTTTAATACTTTCCTTAAAACAATTTGAAGTATGACTTCAAAAGTCACTTCTACCCTTTTTCTTTTGTTTACAAATCTTTTCACTCAAAAATTTGACTTCTAGTGATCAAAAAAAGTCAAGTAATATCTTTGATACCAATGGTAAGAAAGTTCTCAAAGAAAGAAAAACTGACTGTGAAGTACCTGAAGGCCTATTTAATCATTGAAGCGAAAGATATATAGAGGTTTTTGATAATAAAAAGTCTTATTTTTCCTCTTCCAGTCACTTGTAGATCTCTTAGAGCTATCACTTTCATAGTTTTTTGAGGAATTTTACCTATCTCAGTTTGACCTTAAATTTTGGATAGTACAAATCCTCATCAAAAGTGATTGGTTAATATGAAATACATTAGTTTTTGAAATATAAACAAGCTTTTATTGGTCAAATCCACATGTTCTGATAACATTATTGATGATTGAAAAGAAGGTTCTAGAAAAATTTGTCTCTAAAAAGCTCAAGTCCTTTAATAAAAACTTCTCTGATATCAAAAGATCAAGTGATAAGTAATATGCAATACAAACTCCTTCTCTTACCTAAGTTCCTCAAGTGATGACAAAACTTTAATGGAAAAAGGCTGAGGTCTAAATGTTTTTCTTGAGATATTTCAATCCGGTGCTTACTTAAATAAAAGATCAATTAGATTGACTTGTTCGATGCTGTAGGTAGTAAAAAAAAAGATTTTTTCTGAGATTTAAGTGAAGCAAGAAGACTATTCCAATTAGACAGATCCCTTTTGAGAAGAGGTTGTTTTTATTTTTAGATTTTTTTTGATGGGTCTTGAATTGTTTCTTTTCTTTAATTATTTTTTCCCTTTTTCTTTTTTAACTTAACAATTTATTGATTTTCGGGCAATCAACAGTGATAAACTGTTGACAATGATCCTGGTAGATAAAGATTATTATCAATCTATTAGAAAAGTATAATATTGTCCTCAAAATCTGACTTAGAGTACTTTTGTATAAAGACAAGTTAATCACTTTATAAAAGTTTATAAAATATTATAAATTTATTTCAATTTTTCAATAAAGACAAGCCATCGTGATATGATTGCGGATTAAAAAAAAAATAAAATAAAAATAAATAAATAAATATTGAATTAAAAATAAATTATTCGATTCTATTATGTTTTCACAAAATATTAAGAACGTATTTATATTAGCTCAATTTGTGAATTATAATGAAAATATTGATTTATATCTTAGATAAATTCAATTTTTTTTTATATATTCAGTAAACTTTCTGAATAATATTATTGAATATTAATTAGCCTTTATTTTTATTTTTATTTATTTTTTTTTTTTAAACACTAGCTCATTCTTGCATTAGATTGATACCTTTATTAATTATTAAGATATATTCTAGGGACAACCGGGAATACTAGTTACCTATACTGTCTAAGGATTTACAGATCAACGAATAGTACAAGGTTAATTAGCCTTTATTTGGTAATACAAACTAATTAATTTAATAGAAAATAAATTTTATTTTAGATCTGAAAATGATGTGAATATTAAATTATAAAGTACTGAATTTTACCTAGTTAAATGTGAATATATAATAATATTTTTGATCAATTTATTTAATTTAGATATAGAACCTTAAATTGGCAAGACTTTTGTGAATATTTAATTACAATTTCTTTAAATCATAAATATAATATATAATTAAATTTGATAAATAGACAAAATTGAAATTTTGATGAATGTCTAATAATTTTATAAGAAAAATTTTAATAAAATATGTAGTAAAAATAGTATGAAATTATATGATAAATAATGTTGAATTATATAATAAAAATTGATTGATAATTTATTTATATCAAATTATATTATAGAAATTAATTGATAATTTATTTATGTCATAATATATCATTTTTATCTTTTTAATAAATATTATATAAGTGGTATTATGTCAAATAAAATATTTTTCAACTAGTATATTAATTATTATATAGACTGGTTATTTAAAGAAATTACAAATTTATTTACAAAATTTTTTTTTCTTTTAATTTTAATATTAATTAATTATTCTTGAACTATTAAGTATTATAGTAAATAGTAACAAATTGATTGATAAAAAAGATAAACACATCTTTAGATAGTTTTATTTATAGATTAAAAAAATATAAAATTTTAAATATGACATAAAACTCAAATTTTATAAATAATGCGATTAAGAAAGTAATCCATTGATACTGGACTTACAGTAGATGCATAAATTCTACCAAGCCTTATAATATAAATAAATTATTACGAATTTACGAGTGTGTCTCTGTAAATTTATCACTTTATTATTATTATTATTATTATTATTATTAAGTTGTGATCTATAGAGATGAAAGCTAAGCATGCAATATTTATCCTCGGATGTGTCGTTTCATCAACTTACGGTAATATGATTAATGTAAAAACCAAGTAATAAAAAAGGTATACACATTATTTTAAGATGATTCGTCCATTTCATCTGATTCGTCATCCTCTTGATCATCAGAGGATCTATCTGCGCTATCTGCCATCGACAGAATTTTTGATTTTGCAGCCCTAGGAGCCGTTCTATAAAATATTGTTGCACGAACCGTAAGCAATTATTACCTGTTTAGCAGTAAAAGATTTTAACTCACTTTCTGGTGGCCGGCTGTGGCGTTTCTAATGAAGTTCTACGCCTTTTTGGTGGCGACTGATTGGAAGTCTTTTTGCGAGATTTTTTGTTTATTTTGGACTAATCGCATAAAATTGAATTAAGAATTAGGGTTCATAGATTACACGAAAGACGAGAAAGTAAGGATAACAAACTTTTTCGCTTTTATTTTGCGCCGAGGAATGAGTTTTTTCGAGTTCTTTAAGAAATTCGTTCGGGATATAATTTCTTTTCATTACCTGTAATTTCGGGAATGGTGAAATTAGTATAAAAAAGAGGAAAATATTTAAATGGAAATGCGAATTGATTCAACCTCAGTGATAACTTCAGGACTAGGAAGGCTTTTAAATAAATCACCGGGTAACTTCGCTTGTCCCGGGTATGCAGGTAACGACCAGGAATTGGCCTTGCTCTTGGCCCGTATAAGATATTGGGCTATATCGCTTAACGCATATAAATTCTGTGTCACGTATATTCAGAAGTTTAGGATTTGCACATTTGTTCTAAAAATTTTCGTTTGAGATGAGATTATTCTACCTCGCTCTGATCCAAAGACTGCGCATCGCGGACTTGTTTCAATCGTCCGGAGATATATAACAGGAATGAAACGTTTTCTGAGTTAGCTATAGTGTCCAAGAAAAAGTCGATATACCTGACAGAAGTGCTTTAAACGTTAGAAAATATTTTATGCGTAGGTTACTGGTAACAAGTTTCTTACACCACAAATTCGCTGAGAACTTCTGGCTCACGGGAAAAGTCAGGATGGTGAGAAAGAAGGTAAATTAAGCGGATTAGGGTCATTTCGAAAAGCATAGGATTCTCTTCATCTAAACCAGTTACTGAAATTAATGTGAAATTCCATATTTAATATCACCAAAAACCGATGTTCACTCACAAATTGTCCTCGAGGCTCGCGACTGTCTAAGCAGGAATACCTTGACCTATTATTATTATTATTATTATTATTATTATTATTAACTCGAATATGAAATGAGTTGAAAATCTCTTAAGTTAGAAAATGCAGTGTTACTTGCCATTTCGCGAATATCATTCATCGGGTCATGAGCAACCAAAAAGAATATAGACAAAAATCGGGCATGAAGCTGATATCCACCACAGTATTTAACAAGTCGAGAGGCGAACGCCAAGCGTACTTGGTAACATGGATCCTAAAAATTTTTTACCAGTGTATCATGAGCACGTGAACGGCGATCGATATTAATCAATTTTTACCTGTATCATCAAAGCAAGCTCTTGAAATTCAGCCACAGAAATCATCGCATCGTAAATTTTATGCTTTGCCAACTTCAACACAGAACATACTGCGGCCAAACGTAGTCGGCTTTGAAAAGGTGGGCTAAAATCGCATTGCACCGGAAATGATTGTAAATTTCATTTTGAAACGGTCAAACCCAATTGTAAATTTAAGAAGTTACCTGGTGGATTTATCCGGAAGGAGCTCACCACCTTCCCTAATCAAAGTCCAGAGCAGTTTGAAGACTGGTTTTGCCAAATCCACAGCTGCCTCCGTTTTACGGACAGCGATCAGACGATTGACGAGAACTTTCAGGCCCAATACCTGAATTTTAACGGTTCCAAATTAGCGAATACCAAAACCGCAGCACAAGTAATGATACATCCTACCCGCAAAAATCAAGGGTAAAAGGGCAAAGTCATTAAATGAAAAATAAAATACCTTCGCCTTGCACTCGTCACCTAGTTCATCGTCATCTACCCAATCAATATCAGAAGCTGTGGTTGTCTAATGTAAGAAGAAATCAAGATGTTAAATGAGGGAGTACATACAAGCAAGTTCATTTATTTCATAGTACATACCCTGTGCCGAGTTTTCATGATAAGTTGCTTAATTATGAAATTAGTGATGGCCTCGCTTTCTTCCCCGAACGATTCTAGAGAAAAAAGAGCGCATTGACCAAGAGCCGAAAGATGAGCTAAAAGGTGTTGCGACGCGACGGAGAGTTTCGGAACAATTTCCTGATAGAGATGAAAATTTCAAGAAAGGAATTAGACGAAAAGGTCTCTGGGAAATCATGTTGTAAGATGATGCCGTGGTTTCTAAGATAGCCGTCGCACTTAAATGACGCAAATTCTCACTTTTAGTAAATCGCCACATATTTCCTCCCTGTGAAGAATATGGGTCAATATCGTAGCTGAAAATTTGGCTTGTCGAGGATTCCCTTCAAGTGCATATTTCGTGAAACGCCGTATGGATACTCTAAATTCATTCGTGAACTACTTATTATTAATCATAATTATACCCGAAAAACGAGAGCCGAATTCTCGGCTTTACGAACCGATCATGCGGTATCTCGTCAGGAAAAGCAGTGGACAATTTTGAGAGTGCTTGTAAACTGTCATCAACTATCAGATCAAGTGATATTAGGAAGAAGACAATAGATGAGAGAGCGCTAGATGGAGAGAAGAAATATTCAACCTATCAGCGGATTCTCGTTCTCGTTTTCCGAAATTGATTTTATCAGTTCATCAAGATGTGGTTTGAATATGGAAGGAAATCGCGACGAAACGTCCTGCGCAATAAGGGAACAGGTAAAATCGATAAGTTTTTACCGACAAAGTTTGGAACAATCATATCTACCTTAAATAACTCGTGAGCAACGTTAGAACCCGAATCTTGTTCTGAATCGGTCGATTTAATCTTTGTCAAAAGAGACGGTATCAAGTCCCTATTTATTATAGTCATGCTGATCCGTCGAATAAGTATCGAGAACGTTTCTAATGACGAGGCAGCCTTCTGACCTATACGTTTAAGGGCCTCTTCCTATCTCGAGTGAACGATTATTGAGTCGTGTTATCGAATTAACGTGAAGGTATCAGAAAGAAAAGTATGCCCAATGAGAATGCGATAATTACAGCAGATTTTTTGACGGTCCTGTAATTCGAAAGTGGATTCATACAATCCCTTATCATCTTACAACATCGGATATCCTGAAGTTTAGGGAACGACGATAAATTATTTGCCGACTTCAAGGGATCGGGTAACTTCTCTGTACGAAATAAAATGCATTAGCCAAAAATATTTTCAGTGTTTAAGAATGACCTTCCCCCTACCAGCGATTCGTCGAACGACGTGGTTCAAAATATTAGAAACCTTTTCACTCTCGTCATTAATGATGTCATCCTGTGGGATTGACGATGAGCACAACGATAAAGCAAGTAGATACTTCACATTAACGCGTAAAATCACATACTTTGTATTTTTCGCATAAACTCAAATACGTATTCATATCGTTAATCGCACTTTTTAGGTGGGGGGGAGGAATATAATAAGGTTAGCATAAATGCCGTGGATATTGCGTTTCCTTAAAAATCTCTCAAGAAATACATCTTCTAGCTCACTCACTCCCTTTGCCTTTGGAATAATGAAAAGAATCCTTTCTTTGCTTTCACGTCGAGTGATCCAAAGACAACTAGTAATCTCTCAATGCGGGTCGATTCTTCGTTCACGGACGTAAGTATCTCATCGTGTAAAGCCCTCTCGACGCTTACTCTGCAAAATTATGGTGGATAATTGATCCGAATCAATCTTTAATCGATCATCACAATAAGAAGCAACGATTACTATTAAATACATTATATCATTGTCATTGGTGTATAAGGTATTCAGTATTTCAGAGGGTATCCACCCAAATTTTTCGACCGCATTCGCGTCACGGTCAACACTAATGATGGTTTCAGGGTAAGTGTCACCGTACAAGAAATTTTTTCCAATTGTAAATCGTCTCACTCACATCTCTGCATAAGCCAGATTATACAGTCGAGCCAATGCTTTAATTGCTTCTTGTCTGACGCCATGCTACACGGATATTTGTGTTAATTAAACTTCGATGCACGCATTCAATCTATTATCACGTGATACGAAATCGTTCTAAAGTGTACTTTACGATCGCGGCAACGCTTGGCTAGTTCCACGAACAACTCTTTTCCCACAAGTTTCGAAGCGCATTCATATTCCAATTGGCTAAAAACTCTGCATACAGCAATGCGAACTTTATCATCGGGATCCGACATCTTGGAAATGATAGCCTCTAACAGAAATGCAAGGGATTTTTTGAAACAAAGTATAACATCACTCTAACAATCAAACCTAAATAAATTACCATTAATTTGCTTGGCCAGTTCATGATGGTTGGCATATAGGGGAAGGCAATATTCGGTCCATGCACAGCGCACATCGGCTACCTTGTCATTACGTCTATCACAAATTTATATATAATTAAGTAAACCAATTATGCAGCATTCTTGACCGCTCAAAAAAGAGCTCAAACCTGAGAAGCCACATCTTCCACACGTTGTCGTAACGACTAGCCAGAGTAGAATTCTTTTCAGAAAACATCTCCCCAAGGACTTGAGTGGCAAGCATACGCAGATTCAGATCATCCAACTATCGCGCCAACGTTTGGTGCAGGAACTATGTCGATCAGATTCAAATTTCGACTCTAAAGTGATCACGCCAAACTTACTCACCTTTAATTCCTCTTCTAATTGCGGTATAACGTTAAGTAACAATCCGGGTGCCGTTCGATTCAACTCCTTGATTAGGTCATGAGCAATTTTAAAATCATTCAATTCCTCTGCAGGTGCTCCAGCTTTACCAGCGGCGACGATCACATCTGTGAAATACTAAAAATTACAACAGGTGACTCGGTTTTTCTCATGTCGATCGATGGCCTTATTGAAACCCCTTGTTTAAACCTCTTACTTGACAAATATATCTTTGAAGTTTCTCCGTTGATGCATTACAAACTTCTCCTGCCAACTTATAGGCCGCAGGATTCTCATCCTATCAAAAGCCGTAAGGTGAACACAAAGAATCAAAAGGAAATTGGAGAACTGAGATTGTTGCAGATTTACTTTTCGCTTTTTTAAAAACTGCGCAAGTATTATTTCAATAACTTCTTGAGGAAGTGCTTCGTGGCTTTCATTTATCAATTGAGCAAGAATATCCACCATGTGTGAATGAACGATGCTTGACATCTCAGGTCTGTAACGAGTTTAGTAAAAATAAATCGTCAGTAAGTTTCAAGATTTGTTTGCGCAAAAAAAAATGTTCATACGAACCTGACAACGTCAAATATGTTGCGAAACAAATCTACCAAAAGTTCTTCGTGACTTTGGAGATCCAGTATCAACAGAACTATCTTTACCCTGGCCAAATTTTCAAGTAGATGAAAATAGAGATCAAAGTAAGGGCCACTGATATTTCCGATATTTTGGAGTTGACGGACAAATAGATCAAATATAACCTATAGCGACGTGAAATTTTAAATGTACATCGTAAAGTATTGTTCATTCACTCCAATAATGGGTCATTCATCTTACTTTTAGTTCACTTCCGGTGTATGGCGCATCAGGTGCGTAAAGTCTTAGTAAATCAGATATGCAACACGAAGCATATGCTTTTATTCCTTTGTCTTTATGTTTAATTAGACTAGGATGTATAAGGTCGCGAGTTATACTCCTCAGAGAATCTATTTCAATTTCTTCTTGATCTATTCTTGAAATTTCTCCAAATAAACTCTAATTTTAACTGAAAGTTAGTAAATTCCATAATTTAACCAAAAACGAAGGTGTCTGTTGTAACGTGTACCTTTAACCGCTTGCATAGTTCTGTAGTGGAAATTTGTTTTGATGAGGATACAAGCTTCTGCTTAAATTGAAGGCGGTTTAACCGCGAACCTGAGCCTTTAGCAGTGGCCATTAATTACACGAGTGTCAAAGTAAAAAACACGTAATGCACGTACTGGATTATTATTAACTGAACTTCAACCAATAATAAGTTTTAATTTTATTTTACAATAATTAATATATTGTATAGTGGAAAAGGTTTTCTTTTTTTTAAAGACATACAAAAAGTCTTTACCCTTATTATTATTATTTTATCGAAATTAGTAATAAGAGCATATTCTTTTAAAAAACAGTCGAAAAATCCTAAGGAATTCATTTATCTTGTAACTTATATTATTTATTAGTAAAAGTTTTTTTTATTTTTATTTTTTTTTTAAAATATCAACTCAACTCACTTTATTTGAATTAAGTAAAGATTACATATACTGTATATTATGCAAGTAATTATTTTTGTTTATCAAATAAAACTTGATAAAGAGAATCATGTTTTATAGTCTATTGTCACCCTTTTTTAAAAAAAACAAAAGAAACTAGCAAAACGATTTATTAATTCTAAATAAAAAAAACAAATTCGTAATAATTATATTTGAATTTATATATTTATCAAATTAAAAATCCAATAAGAGTTTTTATTTATATTACAACAGTTTTATCTTATAAGTAGATATTTTTTACTTGACTATTTATAATTACTTTTTTTTTTTTTAAACCACCTTTACAACTAAACAACTTACAAAAACAAGTTCAAGAACTTTTTATAGAGTACAGAAAAGGTAAGTTTTACAAAAATTACTAATTTCTACTATATAAATTTTTCTTTTAGAAAGAGAAAAACAACAAGAAAAACTGAATCACAGTAAACTCTTGGAAGCCC